ACTGCCCTGGCCCCCGCCTCATCCCAGGGACCGAGCTCGTGCAGCGCCGCCCTACCCCACCGCGACTGCAGCCGGAGGAGCTGCCGGGAGAGCACAGGCTTAGCTCCAGTTCCTCTTACAAACCGCAGGAAATAGTTATAACAAATAAATAAATATTTTTCAAAGCGTGGGCTAGCATAGTTTTTTTTTTCCTTCCCAAACATACATGAAGTACCATCCAGCTCCCCAGTTTAGGCCGTTGGGCTGATGCCTTGATGCCCACCCCTCATTATGGAGATCCAGACTGGGAGGTTTCAAAGCAGCTAAAATTCGATAAATCTGTGAGCAATCCTAAATGAGATGTTTATAATGAGACAGATCTGGAAGCCTTAAAAACAGGCAGTGCTACCAGCCCCTCTTATAACTCATGCCACTGTCGGCCTGATAAAAGCACTACTTAATGCACAAGTTGTCACCTCTAGGTAAGGTAGTGGCTAAATTTATTTTTGCAAACAGAATTCTAGCAATTCAATCAGTAATTCTCCCTGTCTGGGATCCAAGGAACATCTTGTCATTTCACCTGAAAAATATCATTGGTCAAATATAAAACATTACTGAAAACAGGGGAAATTATCTCCTCAGTAGCGATGACCCTGCCCTACTGTCACTTAGGGGATGTATGGGCACCACGAAGTAGCAATTTCTAAATATACCGTTGTCAGAAAACACAGCAGAGCCATCGGGTGAAGTGTTCCAGAGTCAGTCGTGTATCATGAGCGGCTGCGTCACAGATCATGCGTGACGATGCGGATGCTGACATGCACGGAAACATTATCTATTTTTACACGTGCTAATAAATTGCACCAGCTTTTAAGAAAGATGAAAAGGCACTAAATCAGCTCAAACACCCCTTGCTGTTCCCTCTCATTCTGACAACCACCTTTATGGTTAGTCTCATACATGACAACATTAATGACGCAACGGGGATGCAATAATGATTAATGGGCAATGATTTTCAATCACACATTAAAAACTCATATAATCACATTTTATTTTCATCTCCATTAGCCCAGCCCCAGAGGTGGCCTTTCAGATTACTCCTTTCCATTCCCAACCGTCTTCTCCACAGGTGAAAAGCTAGATTGGATGTCTCTGCTTGTATAATTAGTGGATAAACTCAGTAGGACACCACCCTGGTTTATTTTTGTATTTGAAAAGCATGATGTACTTCCTAAGAGTTGTGGCAGATTTTCCCAGGGTCTTAATGGTGGGATTTTTCTTTAAACACATGCCAAATTTCCAACCAGTGCCTGATCACCTGTTTGATAATCGGCTCTCAGCTTTCATTTCCGTTTGTACAGTCTTGCCAAATAATAAGATTCAGCAGAGTCCTTCCGGCTGGCCTGAGGCTTTATAGTTCTCACATCTTGGAACTGCTCCTTCAGTCTGCTTTGCAGAAGATGGGACTCACGTCCATCCCAGAATTTACAGAGCATCGTTCCTTTTGGCTTTAAAATAATTTGAGACAGATTCAGGAGGCCTAAACATAGATTGATCAGCTTCTGATGATCCAGTTCTTTGATGCCTGTTGCATTAGGTGCCATATCGCTCAAGATAACATCCACCTTCCCTGCAGGAAGCAGATTCTGAATTGTCCTCTGCGTGCCTGGGTCTGCGATGTCAGCCTCCGGCAGGAAGACAGCTCCTTCCAGCGGAGAAATCCGCAGGAGGTCAACGCCAAGGACGAAGCCAGTGGGGACAGCAGGATCTAGATTATAAGAACGAATGACACACTGAACACTCATAATAGTTGCAAACAACTTGCATATATATGAGCTCCATACTCATCAATAAACAAAAATGTATCATCCACCACATCTGGTCTTCTTGTCCTCTAGTTTGCTGCATGCATGTGAATGGATGGTTTGCTATAAGCTAATCCATTCAAGACATGAAAACTCTGTTACTTTGGATAAGCAAGGGCTATTTTTCTTGGTTTCTTTCCCTGTTCTTTCAAAGCTGACAGTCCCAAAATCCTGGGCAACAGTAAAAATGGCAACACCTTATCTTGTAAACATTAATGGCTTAAAACACATAAACCATGTGTAGTGGTTACTACCATTTTTCAAGATGGGAAATAAAAATACAGAAAAGCCAAGTCACCTGCTGGAAGCTACACAAATTTCAGAACTGAATGATGAGAACCTTCCCACAACACAGCTAATCAGAACACTTCGTTACGCCTACAGTAGCACCTCAAGGTAAGCTTATATTTCACAAATATGATTGGTCTGAACCATATGAAGATTTTCCCTGTCACACAGGCACACATCTTCACGCTTCTATCAGTGACTCTGGCATATGCCAGTACCCGTGTCCCTTCCCCACACCACCACCATCACAGCTGAGTTTTCTCACACACTTCAAGATATTCTCCCCATCTTGCCTGTCAAAAACACGCACTTACCGGTACCTAAGGCGTTGACCCTCTCTACAGCAACCTGGCTCCAAGCACCAGGTGCTGCTCCACAGTCAAGAACAGAAAGCCCTGGACGAAGAATATGAAGCTTGTCATCAATTTCCAGCAATTTGAAGGCACTTCGGCAACGGTAATGCTGCTGCTTCGTTGCCTTGACAAAGGGATCCTTCAAATGCCGCTCCAACCACCAGTGCTCAGTTCCAGTTTTCTTCAGAAAGCTCACCGTGGTGTGGAGACATTTGCTCGCCAAACGCTGACAGCTGCCCAAGAAGACAGGGGAGTTAGTGCATAATCACCACGTGTTTCAAAAGTCTCTATAGTAATGAATTCTCATCTCAACTACAGCTCTGCCCATGTATCGCCAGGTTCACAAAAAGCCTCTAAATCTGAGATTCTTGCACCTTCAGTGATCTGGCCGAATCTCAGCGGAAGGGCCGCGTTGTGGACGGCTCAGGTTCCCCTGAGCGAGGCAGGAAAGGGCCCCACGCCTCGACAGCTCTTCGCTTCTGCTCGGGCACTTGTGTTTACGGCCCGCGGGGCCCGACGCGGCAGACTGACCCCACGGGGACCTGGGTGGCCTCAGAGGGGCCAGCAGCCTCCGTGCGAGGGGGACCGGGGGTGCACCGGCCCCTCCATGGAGGGACGCCCCAACTCCGGGCGGCTCCTTCAGGTCCGCAGGCGGAGCACACCGACCGC